TGGATCTGAACGATTCACAGTCCCCTAGGTTTGTCAATTTGAGATATAGAGTGCGAATATACACTAAGGTCTTCAGTTGGGGTCTGCTTCACTTCCGATTGGTTGACCGCACAGGTTACGGCTTCTCATTAGAACTTCGGGAGAGAAATATGGAAGCATAGCACTAATCAGAAGTGTGCAGTGATGTATTCTAAAGTTACTGAGGTCGTGTGTGCATACTGTTGAGAAGTTCCATACTAGGACGAAATAACTGTCCAGTGCTCCCAGGTTTTTTCATGGTTTTTCAACGGAGGTCAGTTTGTGATGAATACCACCCTAAATTGTGTTTTTCTGATCTTCAAAGCACTAAACTGGTCTATTAAAATGCTCCATGTAATGCTCGTTAGTATTCGTTATAGTGACTACTTGGACGACTTCAAAGGCCACACCAACAACTGACAAAATAACCAATCAGGTTGCGGTATTTTGTCTGAAAAGACAATTTCCCCATAGAATAGAGAAAGGTGATTGGTTGTTTCCTCAATTGCTAGGGTGGCCTTTAAAGTCACTCGTGAAGTTAGATATTCTGTATATTGTTATTGCTTTCTGTATGTTTGCAATTACTCAATTCAGTTTTACGCATTATCGCGTCATCGACACGTGATTCAACCGACTCAGATCATGAATATCTTTAAAGGCCACCCTAGCAACTGATGAGACAGCCAATTACATTCCATTAGCTTATGGAAAAGTAATTCACCGGGTAAAATGCTGAAACCTGATTGGTCTATACAGCAGTTACTAGGGCGGCCTTTAAAGTCAATCCAGATCAGAAATGGTGACTTCTAAGTCCACCCTAGCAACAAAAGAAGTGACCAATTAGGCTTCTCTATTTTATGAAAAACTACCTTTTATGGCCGGAATACTGAAACCTGATTGGTTACTTAGGCAGTTGTTGGGGTGAACTTCAGGGGCATTCACACATTGGAGCGACACATAGTCAGTCCCAGCAACGGCTGAGACATGCCAAATACTTTTCTCTATTTTATGAAAATCCCCTTTTTCGGTCAAAATATTGAAAAGTGATTGGTTACTTTACTCCCATGCTAGAATAGCTATTTGGAGTCTCGTCAGCCTGTGTTCTAGGGCGACTTTAAAGGTCACCCAAACAACTGCCAAAACAGCCAATCAGGTTGCGGCATTTTTGGTGGGATGACAATTTTCCCACAAGGTAGAGAAACGTGATTAGTCATTTCATCAGTTGCTAGGGTGGTCTTTAAAGGTACCATGTTTTACCCTATGAAGTTGGTGGGGTGAGAAATTGTGTGAAAAATATGGTGGAATAGATGCGAAGTAGATCATATGCGAAGTCAACGTTAGCGATGAACTGGAAAAGTTCTGTGATACAGGAAATTACCAAGAATGTGTTTTTTCAGGTTAAACAAAAAAAGGGATTTATTAAACTTATCAAAAGTGTATGCACATTGCAGAAACTAGATTTGGCTGACTGAAAAATTACATGATATTGAAAATTCATATTGAACTGTAAAACTGTCTATAGAATCATTATAAAGCGGATAGTAGAATCCAAGGTTTCGATTGACTACTACTTGTCAAGTGCAGCTACTTGACAGAAAGGATACACATTATGCCGTAGGATTTTGTGCTGCATTCACACCTGCAAGATTGCTTGAAATGTCAGTTGAAATCCCAGGAAACTAAAGAATGTATTTTGTAAAGATGTACTGCACTGACCAATTGCAGTTCAGTTGCATGTTCATACTCACATAGTGCAAGATTGGCAGGAGCCTATGTTTGCGCTCGCCCTTGGAAGTAATCGAAAAGTCCGTCTATCTGGATAGTTGTGTGAATGCTGGTGGAGGTGTGAGTGGTGAAGTTTCCAACCGCATATCGAAAGCCAGAGTGGCATACACCAATCTGGGTTACCTTTGACACCGTTGCGACGTTAGTCGGGTTTACAACGCTTCCGTGCGAGTGGTTCTGATTGACGCCTATGAAGTCTGGCCTCCGAACTGGGGATATGCGAAGACCGTATGTCCAACCACCGTTGTCTCTAAAGGACTGCTCGTACCCGGTGGCCACACCGCTGAGGTATGATAGTGTGTGTCTGGGCACGATGGAGATCGTGATTCAATCAGTAAAGTCATCTGGAAACACCGGCTTCGGTATGTTATGCATGTCGTCCCAACGGCTTCCACGTCGTTTACTGGGAATGGATGGAAGTAGCAGAGGGATGGTCAGTGTATGACATGTTACCTTGGGATGAAGCATAGTTGTATCGGGTTAGCATCTGTTGGTCCATCGCGACTCGCTGAGTGGGGTGTGAAAGATCAGGTGACGCAGTGGCTCAGGAGGTTATCAGGTACGGCTAAGAATCGAGACCAGTGGCAGGCATGCTGTAGCTTCTGTTGTGATGCCCCAGTCTTGTATAAAACATTGTTATTGATCTGAACATTTTAACGTGTCATTCCCACATTATTTTTACGGTATGACTAATAGACTATTTCTGCCTCCATTGTAATGTAACGTAACTCTTACTATGCGAATTTCTCCAATTGCTGACAAGGTCATTTTTCATGTGTATACTTATTCACGTGTCTTGAATTGATTCATTGTTATTATATTCTCAGAGTAACAAACTCTCCGATCTGCCAGCTTCGCTCTTCTCTCTATTCGTCCCGGGGTTGCAGTCAGTGTCTCTTGCGTATCAAGTTAGCTGTCAGCTAGGCGTGCGTATTATATTCGTTCTGAAACACATATATATACCATTAGCGCTTCGAAACCATAACAGCTTCCTCCTATCTTCTGCTGCTGAGGAGTAATGAATGTTTTGTTTTGAATGTATCCTAATGAACTGCCCTTCTGATCATTTAATTCTTATTGTGCTTTTTGCCTCTTCCTTTATCCACCTTCCATCGCTTTATACCTTCACAATGTTGTTATATTATTTTGTGTGGTGCATTTCTCAGTGCTCTTGATGTACCATGTTTGTGTCCTAGTAATAATAATACGTACTTACATAATACCTGATATGAATATGGATAACAAATTGCGTCCGAAAGGTTATTCAGTAAATAATACTGTTTCACTATGTATGTGACACATTTGATAAATAGACTACAATGGAATTAAAATCTACCACAGAGTTCAAGTTTTACTCACATATTCATTCTTTGGTTATGGATGCTTTAAAATTTTGGTTCGTGACACTTTTTATCCGATTTCATATAGAACACGATAGTTGAAAGTGTCAACATTTAGTTTTGAAGGTGATTTTAAGGGATCAGAATTTTTGTTTTTGTTGCTCCATTTCAAATAATTACCAGCAATTGCATAGATGGAAGGATTTGAAGAATATGTGAAGAGTTTAGTAACAGGATAATGTTACTTAAGTAAACAATAATAATAATAATAATAACCTGGCACACACAGGTGTATCGGTTTAAGTTGCCAAACTTCACGGTAGTATACAAAGAACAAATAGACAGGAAAAGACTAATATCAAAGTAGACAGAAGTTGTATGACAGAATAAACAACTTGAAGATAAAGGTTAGTGGGAATTTTCAAGCTTTAGAAGACGTTAAGGAGTGAATACATTTGTGCCATTGTGATCTATTTTTAACCATGTTACCAAGAATCCTCAACCACTGATTCCCAACATCTCGATAAATCCAGTTAGGTAGTCTACATATCCCCTTACACGACTCAGGCCAACATTCAGAGACTTCATCCACTAGTGCCACGTTCTCCAGCATGGCACGTTGAGATAGACTGTGGCTCGGTATATGCAATAACGTGTTCAAACCATCTCAGTCGACTTAGGTTCACAATTTCACTAATCGACTTGCCTAGTACCCATCGCCCTGAAGGTAGTTTTTCACAATACAAAGATATGCAACTGGTTATCTCAGTAGTTATGAGGGTGACATTTACAAACACATCATATTTGTGCACTAAGGTAGACACCCAAAATATCTATTCTAGGAATGAGTGATTTTAGAGGCCACCCTACCAACTGTTGAAATCATCAATTAGGCATTAATATTTCATCCAAGAAGTTAATTTTTCATAAAGTTGTTAGAACAAATGATCCTGTTTAAGTAGCAGTACAGGACAATGTCGACAGAGTATATAGAAACTCATTAAAACTCAACCAGTGATTTAGTCTTGAAAATTTCCCCACCCGAAATTAGCTAATCAACACTGCACAAAATAGCAAGTGATGATGAATGATTGTCTTGTCCATAATAAAGATTAAATAATTGCGTGCCATTGAAGGTGGAAGACATGAGAAGGCTTCAGGTGTTTGACCACCCTTACCTTCGTAGTTTAAAGCCGTATTCCATGATGTCACTACGTGAATAACGCAGAAGTCAGGCGTAGAGTCTTTGGCAGAAGTGGTAGGTTAGTTGACACGGTTGTGAACATTCACCAACTGAGATGGCTGGCTGGCACATGTGTTACGTACGTCTAGTCGCCGTCTGCCTCGTCACACAGTGTTGGCCGAAGTACCTTCAGACTGGGAAAAGACTCGAGGCGACCAGACTAAAACGTGGCATCAATGTATGAAGTCTCTGACTGTTGGTTTGAGCGATGTAGGACGATGCAGACTAACGGTTGAGGTCCACGGGACAAGAGAAACCAGTGGTTGGAGACTCTAGGCGATTACACGGCTGAGAACCGATGTCAGTAGCGCAGATGTATACACACGTTATCCTCATCTTAACGACGCTATACCGAATCTCACCACCTTTTCATTCTTCCTTTCTTTGTATTATTACTTTATGTTTCTTTTGACTGAATTTTATTTTCTCCACCTCCCACTTCAGTGCATTTTTATTTGATGTACTGATATGAGGTGTGGCGACTCGGACCGTTACTCAGTAATGTCTGGTCTTATGTTGATTTGAATGGATGGATGGATGGATGGGCGTGTTACGGGGACTAGACAAAGCATCCATAAACGATAAAACACGATGTCATTTACGAAAACACTTACTTTTGATGACAATAACAGCAAATAAATAAGGTAAAAATCTCTTTCTTTATCCGGAATAAACACAAATGCATGATCCAGCTTCTCTACCTTGGCATATTTAGTGCTGATTTCAAGTATTACTGGTGATTTAGTGCACACTTTCTGTATCTTTTCAACCTGTAAACAATTAAAAGTAGACCATTGTATAACACAGACTTGCTTACATTATGTGTCATTGTAGCTGAATACAAGAATGTTTGTTTGTTAGGATGCAGTTTTGTTGTGATAAAGGCTAACTGTTCTTCAAATGTATCCTCTAACATCTGATCAGCTTCATCAAGTACAAAGTACCTAACATGATTTAAGCGCAACTCTTTTGTATTCTCAAGATGGTAAACCACTCGTCCAGGAGTGCCAACAATCACATGAAACTTAAGCTTTTTCAAATCACGAACTTGATCTTCTATATGTTGGCCACCAACTAAACAAATCACCTTTAAGCCGAACTTTTCACCCAATTCCAGAAAAAGTCGTTTGATTTGAAGTGCTAGCTCTCTTGTTGGAGTTAAAACCAATGCAAAGTTATGTCTAGGCTTCCAAAGTAGATCTTGTAGAATTGGTATAGCGAAAGCAGCAGTTTTTCCTGAACCAGTCTCTGCAAGTCCAACTATATCCTTTTTACGCAGAGCAGTTGGAATAGCCTTCAACTGTATTTCAGAGGGTTTCGTCCAACCAAGAGTGGAAATGACATCACATATTTCACTGCAAACACCCTGAAAATGTTATGGTCACAATTAGCTATTATAACTTACAAGTTCCTTGAAGCTTTTGAGTGACATTTTAGGAAGTTCTCAGGTTATAAAATTGCGATTGGAGGTGGAAATCTCTTACACAGTGGAACAACCTATGAGGTATCAAACGAAGAATTAGTTGAAACCAAAACTTAGTACACTTAGTAACATAGCGAGATATCCTAATTAACATAAACAAGACAAAGAATCAGCATAAGCTGATGGACATCTGTAAGTGTACATTCATACAACAGTTATAGTTTGTGTTACATAAACAAGCAGCATGGCTTAATTTGGAAGTTTGTGGGGAATTTTTATTGGTTTCAGGTTGATATCCGTCATGAACTGACATCAGTTGGAATCATAGGAAACCTGAGGGTAATGAACAGCTGTCTGGTCCTATTATGAGACTTGTCAGCGGTGCGCACCTGCGACCCCACTAAGGATAGGATGCACGATCTTCAGGTACCCTGCCCAGCACGTTTCCACTGAGTCGATACCCGATGGTCCATATTCCCTACTTCTGTGGCTCAGTGGTAACGTGATGGCAGCGGAACCTGAAGGCCTTAGGTGCACACTGTTGAGAAGCCCTATACTAGGACGAAGCAGATGTCCAGTCTTCCCAGGTTTCCTGTGGTACTATAACTGATTCCAATCCATGATGCACATCAACCTGAAGTATGGCTCAAATTTAGATAGTCCAACTCAACAGCTTGATTCATGCAACTGAGCCACAATAAGTGTCAAAAGGCTTATGACACCACTTGTTTGTCAAGGCCAAAGTAAGTTGAACACTGTGCCAAAGTGTAATTCTATAGCGGATTGGCTTACTTGATACATTAATATGTATTGCTCAAGATCATGTCACGTTTATCACATTAATACTTGACAATAGGAACACAAACAACTCAAATGATGGAAGATGTCTATTTATATGCAGTTGAAAGAGTGCTGGGTGGTGATTGGAGGTAAAAAACAAATCTGAGTCACGGTACGATCGCAGTGACAATAAGATGTGGTCAGCAGTCGGGTCTCGAAACCCAGCTAGTAGAGCACCGAGTCGGTAACCTGGAGGCCGCTGGTTTGAATCCTACCATGGCCTAGATTTCCACTTCACCCTCAATCTTCACTTAGTATCAATAATACGAGTTTGCTGCCAAACAGGATAGTCAGAAAAGTCTCACTCCTGGAACATTTAATTCCACCTTGAAGATATGGCATAGATAATATATTGGATGGCACATTCACCATGTTGAAATATCTGCAGTCTATTAGTCTGCTAATTAATATTTCCCAGTAAATGAAAAACAAAATAAGCTTGTTCTGTGTTTTTCCAACTGTCAAATCCAAGATTGATTTGCATATTTATAAATTGATTTAAATATCCATATTATAGTCTTTGATGTTATACTTTGCGCATTTCAATCGTTGATTAGACTGAAATGACCAGCCATTATCGGTTTATGGGCTGCTGTGGATGCCTCGATGATGGCTAGTGACGGTTAGCCACTGGAAGAGAAAAAGATTTATAAGACCGCAGAGTCTATGGGACATTTGCTTCAGGTCTATAACACACAATCGTTAGCTGTTTGTTGATGTGAGATTTGATTGGTTTAACGTCTAACGTCTAACCCATTGGAAGACAGTGACGCTGACAGAAGTGTGCTGTTTTAAAGACTGACCATTTTTTAACTCCTTCCCATGGAGAAGGCAGCATTAGCGTGGCACTGCTGGTCGTCCAAGAGAGACACCTTACTGTTGTAGTACCCCATTCAGCTACCAGCAGTGCGCCTTTGAGGTCGGACCCGCATCATAATGTACTAAGTTACACTACGACGGTAACTGCTCTTCGTCTTACCACTATCCGATAGACCCTTCTCGGATGGTAAAAGCTCGAGGGAAAAAGCGCTCCCATCAGCATAACTCGTTGAGTTACTGTGATATGCTAGTCCGATTACAACGTCAAGGTAGCAGCTATCGGCAGGGAAAATGAATATGAATTAGGTACAGTTGACTAAGGGAAACCATTACGTTTTGGTACATCACTAGTTATCATTATCAACATAGGACCAGGCATTACTGCCTCACGGTCCGAGTTGCCACACCTCACTTCAGTTCATCAAGTAGAAAGGTAGTGAGGTGAAGGATGAAGATAAGTGAATGCAGTCAAAAGAAATATAAAGTACGAGAAGAAAGGAAAGAGGAGTGACAAAATGGTGAGATTCGGTATAGCGTCGTTAAGATGAGGATAATGTGTGTATACATCTGCGCCACTGACTTCGGTTCTCAGCCATATCACCTAGGGTCTCCAGCCACTGGTTCCTCTTGTCCCACCGACCCCAACCACCTAGTCTGCATCGTCCTACATGGCTTAAACCGACAGTCAGAGGAGACTTCATACATTGGTGCCATGTTTTAGTCTGGCCACCTCGGGCCTTTTTCCAGCCTGGACCCACCTCAGCCAACATTGTGTGACAAGGCAATCAGTGACTAGGCATACGTAGTACGTGTCCCAACCATCTCAGTCGATGAAGCTTCACAACCTCGTCAACTGACTTACCTCTTCTCCTAAAACTCTACACCTGACTTCTGCATTACTCACATGGTGACACCACGGAAGACGTCCTATACTACGAAGACAACGGTGGTCAAATACCTGTAACCTTCTCATGTCTTCCACTTTCAATGGCCATGTTTCACAGCCATATAGTAGAACAGAGCGGACTGCTGTGCAGTACACGCGACCCTTAATAGACAAACGAATATCACGGCGGCGCCATAGGTGGCGCAAATTGGCAAAAGCCAATCGAGCCTTTTGTATCCGTGCCGAAATCTCATCGGCAACTGACCCACCGGAGTTGATCCTACTTCCCAGGTAAGTGAAGTGGTCAACACACTCAACCACTTCACTCTCTATTGTTAGCCGCGGTACCGCTGAAGACCAGTCCTGGAGCAAAAATTTGCATTTACATCACTAGACTGTAAATCACTTAATCTTATATCAGTAAAACCAGGTTTGATCAAATGTTTACTGCATCAAACTGGGAGTTTGCCTGGTAGGTTAGGAGACTTAAATTTAAGTAAAAGAGGGGAGAAATTTTACTACTCCTCTTGACTTTAATCAGAAATTCATACGCATTCATATGAAACGGAGAAGTGATGATTTGAGCAGTGATTATAATATAAAAAAGAAATTTAAGGCTTCTGTGTTTTTGCCGTATAAAGAAGGAATAAGATACTATTGAGCATAAACAGAACAGGATGAGTGATCAATTCTCTTAATGAGAGTTTTGAGTTTAGTTGAATCTGCAGAAATCACCACTGGAGTGGAAGCAGAATTTAGTCAAGCAGATGAAATTCCATCCATCCATCCATTCAAATCAACATAAGACCAGACATTACTGAGTAACGGTCCGAGTCGCCACACCTCATATCAGTACATCAAATAAAAATGCACTGAAGTGGGAGGTGGAGAAAATAAAATTCAGTCAAAAGAAACATAAAGTAATAATACAAAGAAAGGAAGAATGAAAAGGTGGTGAGATTCGGTATAGCGTCGTTAAGATGAGGATAACGTGTGTATACATCTGCGCTACTGACATCGGTTCTCAGCCGTGTAATCGCCTAGAGTCTCCAACCACTGGTTTCTCTTGTCCCGTGGACCTCAACCGGTTAGTCTGCATCGTCCTACATCGCTCAAACCAACAGTCAGAGACTTCATACATTGATGCCACGTTTTAGTCTGGTCGCCTCGAGTCTTTTCCCAGTCTGAAGGTACTTCGGCCAACACTGTGTGACGAGGCAGACGGCGACTAGACGTACGTAACACATGTGCCAGCCAGCCATCTCAGTTGGTGAATGTTCACAACCGTGTCAACTAACCTACCACTTCTGCCAAAGACTCTACGCCTGACTTCTGCGTTATTCACGTAGTGACATCATGGAATACGGCTTTAAACTACGAAGGTAAGGGTGGTCAAACACCTGAAGCCTTCTCATGTCTTCCACCTTCAATAGCCATGTTTATCAGCTATACAGTAAAACAAACTAGACTGCTGTGCAGATGAAATTACGGCTGAACAAATTCGACCAAGGCGTGAACGAGCAATTAAACAACAAGCAAAGGTAAGACAAAAGTTAACAAAACCGAAATCACTACCTCTGCTCAGTAATCTTGTACATGTTATTGCAGTAGGCGATCAACCACACCTGTTGTGTGAGGGCTAATGATGATGCTTTCAGGCTGCCGTCGTCAGTTCGTACAGAGGTACTTGAACCCGCCGCCCACTGATTAAAAGATAACTGCCTAAACCAATGAGCCACAACTCCACTATATTTAAAAAGCCAGGAAATGTCAACATGTCTGATGAAGGGTACACAAAGTAGCTTACATAGCTTTGCCAAGAAGTACGTAAACAGCTTATGACACTTCATAACAACGCAGTGGAGATGAATAGAAAACGAATGATATCAAAGTAGATAAAAGTGCATGCTACTCCGTTATTATGATCTACTGGTCCCCCCTCCCCCGCCATGTCATTAAGATTTCCAGATCGTTGATTCTTAACATAGCGGGGACCCTGGACACAGCCTTCATCTCCACATACGATTCAGAATAACAGTCAGATACTCAATTGATTGGTGCCATTTACTGATGTAACCACCACCATTAGCATCCTTTCAAGGTAGTTCAAAGAGAAATAACCACTGGATAGTTCTTAAAAAGATCAGACTGAAACTGCACAACTTAACAACAGGTGAACACCTACGAAAAACTAAAAAAGAAAATATGGTATCAGTGAAAATAAGATGAAATTACAGAGGCAGACCAGCTATCGAATGACACTTGCTGAGATTGCAGAATTCTATCCATAATTCAAACAACATTCAATTTAGTGTTGTTGCTTGTATTACACTGTCGTTGATTGGACCAAATTGGTCAGTCTCTGTTGGCATATGGGCTCCTATGCGGATGCCTCAATATTGCCTGTATTTTTAACTATATAGTAATGCGCATCCTGGATTCCACTGCTAGCCACTATCCATCA